ACCTTTCATGCGTTTTTCGTGTGCAAACCATTGTATTTTTTTTTGATCCCCATCTAAATTAATTTTAATTCTTAAAATTAAATTAGTTATGCTAGTAACCATCAAAATAAGAATTTTTTTGATGTTGGAAAAGAGTAAGTGCAAATTTTTATTTTTTATTAATTAAATTATCATTATTTATCGTTGAACCTTTTCTATTTAAAATGTACATTACCTCCACCGGTACAAAACAACAACTTCCCATCTTACACCGTGCCCGGCATTACAGAGCGCATTTCTCGTAAAACGGTCCGACCCTAGTTCGGATTTAAGGCGAGTCCGGGCAATAATTTCTGGACGTTGGTCACTGTTAAATTCAAACCGTCCAGACAAAGAGAAAGATAAATGAAACAGGGTAAATTACATCTCGTCCCGTAGCCGGAAATTAGTTCGTGTGACAAAAGTCAAACCGACCAAGATCGATAAATGCAGAACCGGATTTAAAAGACGTCTCGTATAACGGGCTCTGGACATTTGTATTATTTAAATTTAGATTCAGCGAACGGACTGACGAATTGTGTATGAGTTAATTAAGTATAAATTTCGAAATTAATTTGTAGATATGTCAGCCGAAAAAGTGATGTTAAAATACTTTTATGCATAAAATTAATTGTTTTTGAAATATTATTTATAGGATATTAATCAACGTCTACAACGTTCGAATACCAAACAATTCTAAACAGAATTATTAAATGAAATAGAATATACAGACCGGACCACCGTAGTAGTAACATAGGCAGAACCGGACGAATTAGCGTATACCCGTCCGCCGGATAAAAAGCAGGCGAAAAAATGCGATAAAATAAAAATAGGTCGATATGTGCTAAGAATGTTTCAGAATTTGTATTTAATCGTGTTTTAATAGCCAAAACGAATACGTAGATTCTCGCGACAGTTCTCGTGTAAAATTTATTTTTTAAGTAAAATAATTTGGATGTTTATGAAGTTCGTGAGAAAATTCAAATTGTAAAATGGTATTTCCAAAATAGGTCTTATCGGGATATACAAACAATTTTTCCACAAACTTATGTAAACAGGCCAATTCCATCTTTATCTAATATATCAAGAGTTATTAATAATTTTGAAACACATGGGTGCATGAAGAACAGGAGTTAAAGCAAGTGTTCGTTTGTGCTACCGCGGATCAAAATCCCACGTTTTCAAGTAATCAAATTGCTGAGGTGGTTGCCCTGCCCACAATGCCCGTATTGTTCAAGAATATTTGAACAATACTTTTCCCAACCGTTTAATTAGTGGATATGGAACTATTTTGTGGCCCGCTAGATCACCAGATCTTTCTCCCAATGATTTCTTTTTGTGGGGTTATGTAAAATCCTAAGTGTATGGTCATAATAGGGCTAATAATCTGGATGAGCTTCAAGTAAAAATACGAGAGGCTTTCCAAACTATTAGCCCTAATATGTTAGCCAATGTCAGACGGGGATTTTACGACCGCCTAGGTTTCTGTCTAGCACAAGAAGGTGGTCTTTTTGAACACTTGTTATAACTTTTTTTTTATTTAGAGTAACATTATAGTTTTTTTTGGGTTTAGAGAATTTATTTATTTGTAGTTTTGGCTTGTAAACACACTTAAATAATAAATATTTAATAATTTTTATTTTATATGTTACCTTAAGTGAAGGTAAACACTTAAAATGAAAATAATAAATACTCGGCACTCGCGTCATATTCCTAGTCTGTCACGACCGACCCGTCGAAGCACAACTGCAACTGCGTACTGCCTGACTAGCCGACTAGCCGGCAGTGACTCTCGAGTACGAACGCAATACGGGTAAACGTAAATTCGTCCGGCAACTTGCTATGTTACTAGTAGCCTGGTGTACGTATAAATTAAATCTAAAATCTAATTCGTCAGCTGAAACATCATGATTTTGTTGACCCTTGTCCTCTCAAATTATTATTTTTTGTAGATTTTTATAGAAAATTACAGATGATCAAAACCAATCACAGCCTTTTATTTTAATCAGTATACACAATTTTCGCTAAATATGTTTGTGTTGTCTTCTTCTTCCTCTTTTTATGGAACACCCTGTACATTTTATGAGAATAAAGTGCATAATTTAATTGTTCTAGCAAATTGTATCACACCATATCTTACCTATCTCTTCAAGTTTTTGTAGAAAATGCATTGTCTTATAATTTAGACCTCATTGTTAATATACCCATGGAATATTGACATTTTAGGTTATTTTTAACGATATAACAATAGGTCGAGATCGGATATCTCAATCCATGGAACATGACGTTTTAATTTTTTTTAACCAACAAATGTACAAAACGTGCAGGTGCTAAAAACGATAATATTGCAAGCCCATTTGTTTACAAAAAGAACAATATTTAAATTTTTGTAAAAGAGTATTTAAATATACCGCCATTATTTCGGCCCAAAAATGAGTTAATTACATAGTTAATTGTTTTAGTTAATAAATGATTCTAAATAAATGTAAATTTGAATCATATCTGATTCATATCTCAACATAAGAATAAGTTATGAAAATGAACGTAAGCATTCGTCAAAAAATTAAATAAAATTTATAAGGTGTTATTTTTTATCACACTGTTACACATACAAAATACAGCTTTTAGTATTTGGAGCAATTATTATTAATCAACGCAAACAACCAATTAATGTACTTTGAATACTGAGATCATATTAATTGGTCCTCTTTAACAAATATTTAAACAGTTCTTTTTATTTTATAATGAAATAAGTTAATTATATCGACAATATTGATCCACTGTACTCTTTGAAAATTACTTACATCTTTAAAAATAATCTAAAATATCAATATTCCATGGGTATATTGATAAATGAGGTTTAAATTATAATAAAATTCATTTTCTATGAAAATTTAAAGAGATTGACGATATAATTTAATAAGGTAAAGGTAAGAAATAGTAATGCAATTTGATAGGCAATTTTGTACTCTGTTCGCAAATCGACCAACTATGAAACCTTCCCGGACACAAACGGTACATTGTGAAACAGGAAGTTGTAGAGAGAAGTAATCCCTATAACATAGGATACAACATTTTAATGAACAGTGTAATATACATGAACACAATAATATACATGTACTGATTTCTTTCGAAAATCGACAACTATGAAACTATGACCCCTTCCCCGACACAAACTCTACTTTGTGAGACAGGAAACTGTAGAGAGAAACCAACCCTATAACATAGGATACAACATTTTAATGAACAGTGCTTTCCATAAAATCAATAAAATGAAAAATATACGAAATAATATACATGCACTGATTTCTTTCGAAAATCGACAACTATGAAACTATGAACCCTTCCCGGACACAAACGGTACAGTGTGAGACAGGAAATTGTAGAGAGAAACAAGTCCTATAACATAGGATACAACATTTTAATGAACACTGCTTTCCATGAAATCAATAAAATGAAAAATATACGAAATAATATACATGCACTGATTTCTTTCGAAAATCGACAACTATGAAACTATGACCCCTTCCCCGACACAAACTCTACTTTGTGAGACAGGAAACTGTAGAGAGAAACCAACCCTATAACATAGGATACAACATTTTAATGAACAGTGCTTTCCATAAAATCAATAAAATGAAAAATATACGAAATAATATACATGCACTGATTTCTTTCGAAAATCGACAACTATGAAACTATGAACCCTTCCCGGACACAAACGGTACAGTGTGAGACAGGAAATTGTAGAGAGAAACAAGTCCTATAACATAGGATACAACATTTTAATGAACACTGCTTTCCATGAAATCAATAAAATGAAAAATATACGAAATAATATACATGTACTGATTTCTTTCGAAAATCGACAACTATGAAACTACTGATTCTCGTAAAATAAACAGGGCGTTCCATTTAAATTAAAGGAGTTATTGCCGATCAAAGCTAGAAATTATTTAAAATAAATGTTTAAACACTCTGTATAAGGTAGTATAATTTTTATTATTGCAACACAAAATTTAGTAAACAGAAAAACTTCAGTACAATATTTGGTTTTAAAAATTTAAATATGCCTAGAGAAATATTGATATTTTTTATTTATTTGGGTCACTCTGTATCTTGTAAAAATATTTTTAAATTGTAGCTCTAATAGTACTTCAACAAACCAAAAAATTCCAATTTTTAAAAATCTAATCATTTAGTTACAATACTCCAGTGTCTTATGTGGTGAATAACCCTGTATCTGTAGTTTCACCCAAAAAAGTTTCATAAATCATGTCCTAAAATTGCGTTAGCAACTAGTAACATTTTTTACTATTCTATTATATAATTATAATTATTTATTATATTATATTATGATTATAACAAGTAACCACAACACAAGGATATATAGAATAAGGATATTCGACTGGCCCAAAAAAAACGTGCCGTATTTTGTCGAGGAAGTCGATTTCGTCACGACCAATGGGCGTCGAGTATTTGAAATTGAAAACATATAAATTGACGGTAACCTATGTTTTTTGACTCATTTCACTGACAAATGTGATGAGATTGTTATTGTAATTTATAGATCCAAAATCCAAAAGTTTTTTGAATAAATAATTTATTTTAAAGTTATTTCCTAGAGGTTTGGTTTGGCCTTCTATATTCTGGTATTTGTCTACTAATAAATAATATCTTATTTTGTATTTCGATGTATGGAAATCCTCAAGTTTTGTATCTGAAGCCGCAAAGAAATTTCGCTCTATAGTGAGAAAAATGTTATTATATCTTTTTAGACGTGTAGAATTACAAAATTTCTCATTTCAGATGTTCTAAATCTGAGTGTATGTCAAAAATTTATAAAAAAATGAGTGCATGTCAAAAATTTAAATATATACTTGAAATATTATTTTAAGTTATATGCTTTGACATTTTTTGGAAGTAAACAAATATTGAAGAAAGTGTTGTGCCTTCACAGAATTTAAATTGGCATTAGGAATAGATTTCCTTGATTTAGTAATGATATTGCTCATAGAAATTGATAATATACTATTTTATATTCACTCGTTCAAGTGCTGATCTATTTTTAAATTGAATATTTATGTAAGTATTATGTATAACACGATATAAATAATTTAAGGACATAAGAAATTAAAATTTCAAGTGCCAATATTGATTATTTTTCCAGTTTTATTCAAATATATTGAAATTAATATGGAAACAAAAGTTCATAAATATTATTCTTAATAACAAGAATTGAGATTTGGGGATAAGTTTGAAAAGCCATGTCAGAAGAGTAGGATTAAAGACAAAGTATTAAGGTTACATATATTTGCATAAAGTTTTAATAACACTGACAATTTTATTTGTTTATGTTTATTAATTAAAATTTAGTTGCAATTTATTTCATATTCTAATATTATTGAGAAAATTTTACTTATATACCTGAATATTATGCTGCTTTTTATTTTAAAGTGTGCCGACTGTGCTGTTATTTTTTATACTACTAGTGTATACTGTATACTGTATTCATATATAGTATTATATATATATATATATATATATATATATATATCAGTAGTATTGATACTTACTTTCTTTCTATGCGTACTTATATCCTTTATAGTCTTTCTAAGTGCATATAATACTACTTTTTTAAGAGAAGGCAGTTTTTAATAATCTATTGTTAATTCCCCTAATTCTGTGTCCCCTGGTTCTGCTATACAACAATTATATATTTTTTTATCATTACTGATTTTAAAAGTTTCTTTTCAAAGAATTTGACCATATATTTTTTTTTCAGAGTAATTGGGCTGTTCCTGAACAATATTGAATATAAATATTCAAAAATATGATAAACTGCATATCCTACTAAGTAGATCAATACCAAAATTCCATTAGAGAAATAAGTTAAAATTATGTTTTACTTGTATAATTTTCTTGCTATTTGTCCACCATTATTTGTGACTTAGAAATTAAATAGTCAAAAAGAATTTAGTACCAGTTTTTATTTCCCAAAAAAAATAATTGTTAAATAATTACATATTGCTTAAGATACAGTATATTATATTGTGTTTATAGTTGATAATTCTAGTTCTTAGTTGTTTATAGTTGATAATTAACAATATTTCTGATGTTAGATATTATATTAGATAAAAAATTTAATTACCAATAGCTACCTACCTATGTAGCTGCAGATTATATATTGTGTAGTAGGTAGTGTATAATTCTTTAGTTCAAGAAACAAATATCAGTACAAGTATATAACCAAAAAATGTTGATGCAAATTCTTTGTATAACATACGTACCCCTACGGTATTCAACTTTTCATTGTTCTTTTAATTAGATACACAATAAGCACATTAATTCGTTTATTAAACAACCAAAACTAACTACTTAAATTCACAATATAAATATCACAATAAATGTATAAGCTTTGATCAATTCCTATTATATATACCTGACGACTTCATACTTTATAACTACCAATGGCTATCCTACTAACACACTAGCCAACTAATAATAAATCTGTTCTAAAAAAATATAACATAAAGACATCGTTATTGCAATAATATAGAAATATATTCCATGTATCATTAACTACCTATAAATACAATACCCACATCTTCTTTTACACGAATAGTGCGTTAGGAGGCAGAAATATTGCCTGTATTGTACATCGTACAAATTGGCTAGAATTTATTAATATCCATTGCAAACATTTCTCTTTCAAGGGTCTAAATGTTTTGTCTTTTTACTGTGTCCCTGTAATATGTTATCAATTAACAACAGTTATCAAATATGATCTGGACAATAATAATTGTTTTACCTTTTTTTCAAACTAAACTCTTTAAACAAACTATATAAATAAAATTTATCTCATAACCTAACTTGCTGCTAGAATTTCTTTCTTGTTATTCTATGTTCCTGTATTGTTATTCTTCACATTATCAATTTCTATGAGCAATATCATTACTAAATCAAGGAAATCTATTCCTAATGCCAATTTAAATTCTGTGAAGGCACAACACTTTCTTCAATATTTGTTTACTTCCAAAAAATGTCAAAGCATATAACATGAAATATTTCAAGTATATATTTAAATTTTTGACATGCACTCACATTTAGAACATCTGAAATAAGAAATTTTGTAATTCTACACGTCTAAAAAGATATAATAACATTTTTCTCACTATAGAGCGAAATTTCTTTGCGGCTTCAGATACAAAACTTGCGGATTTCCATACATCGAAATACAAAATAAGATATTATTTATTAGTAGACAAATACCAGAATATAGAAGGCCAAACCAAACTCTAGGAAATAACTTTAAAATACATTATTTTTTCAAAAAACGTTTGGAACTATAAATTACAATAATAATCTCATCACATCTGTCAGTGAAATGAGTAATGAGTCAAAAAACATAGGTTACCGTCAATTTACATGTTTTCAATTTCAAATACTCGACGCTCATTGGCCGTGACGAAATCGTCTTCCTCGACAAAATACGGCATATTTTCCAACATAGCCCGCTATAGGGAGTTGAATATCCTTCTTCTATATATCCTTGCCACAACACTACAACATAAAAAACTATACACATATAAACTAAAATTCGTAAAATAAATGGCAAATAATAATAAATTATTATTTTTACACACACCACTGGTACTAGTAGTAGATTGTGTTTGTCGCCGAATATATGCCCCGGCCCGTCCACAATTCAATTCCAGCATCATTTATCTTCGTCTCTTCAACGCTAACAGCGCCGATCTCCTTCTCACAGGATTGATTGTTGAACGGACCGGGAGTCCACGAGCTTGCGGCGTTACCAATTGCCATCTTGGTTGAAACTGCAGACCTGCCGCGTCTTTTGCGTGTTTTTAATGAACTCAAATCGAAAAAAAAGGCTTAAAACGGTCAATTCGCAAAAAGCGCTTGAGACGCAAAAAACGCAAAACGCTAAAAATGCTTTCTATGTGGCCGTGGGCTGGGAGGTTTCTGCACTTTGATGAAAACCAAATAAATGATTACCTGTCAGTGAGGTATGCTCTCACCAAATATCATCATTTAAAAAAGTTATGGAATAATTCAGAAATTTATAAACCAACAATTTTTATACCAGAAATTGTAATTAGTCGTAGGAGAATTTGATAATAAATGTAAAAAAGACTAAAAGATTAAAACAATAATTACTCTTTTGTTTCATCAAATTTAAGCTCTATGAATAGTCATTATTTATTGTATACAGTTTTTACATCAAAACTCAAATCAAAGCGGTGTAAAATAAAAAAAAATAACACAAAAAATAAACTTTATTCGCTATTTTTCCTGTCCGTTTCAGCCCTGTGTATCAATTACGGGGATGACAATAATCCGCAATCGAACGAGGGTCCGTTCGAGCACTATAATAAAATCAATTGTGCAAAAATTGCGTAATCATCTCTGGCAAAGCCGCATTTTTGTTTTGGGGAAAAAGGGGTCAAAGAATTTATGTTGGCGAAATCCGGGATTTTGTTATACTTTTATTTAGGGTGTACATAACGAGCAAAGTATTACTGCCGTCCCGAAAAGGGTCTGTGGATAGAAATTTAAGGGGATTAATGTCTAAAAATTAATAAAATTTTAGTACAAGTACCTTCGATTTGACCATAGATTTGAAATAGTTTATACAGTAATAAGATAACGCTATAACTAACAAATTTTTTTTCATACGTTACGGAAGTATTGATTTTTGTGACATAATTGACAATATACAGGGTGATCCGAACTATATTCCGGAAACTTCGACAGCATATTCTGTAGGTAAATGTAAGTAAAAAAGTTTGTATGTCCTAAAATGCTTAATTTCGAAGATACAGGGTGTAGAAGATTAATTTTTATTTCAATTTTTTCCAAATAATTTCTGAAGTAACATCAATATTTTGATGGAAATTGGTGTCTGGGAGTTTTTTGACATGAGAAATTTCATTTTGATGTCAATATGACCCTTAGAGGGCACCACCTACATATTTCTTAACTGGTTTGAAGAGTAATAACTTTTCGTCCGTACCTGTATCAAATGACCAAGTAAAAAAATATACATTTACGACGTTTTTTACATAGAAAAAGTCTCTTGGTAAAAATCGCTACGGGGTATGGTTCTCAAGATATTTGGCATTGAAATTGTCAATACCTGTTGTCATTGACATAAATTAAACATGTTGACTAAATAGTTTAGGTTAGGTTAGGTTAGGAGAACTCTTTGAGAACGGTTGCTCGTAGCGATTTTTACCAACATTTTTTACGTAAAAAATCAGGGAAATGTATATATTTCATACACCCAGTAGTTTCAGAAGTGAGGCTAACTGCTAGGGGCGTTCCGCAGGGTAGTATCTTGGGTCCTCTTTTATACGTAATATACAGGGTGTTTCAAAACAAATGCGAAAAACTTCAGGGGGCGATTCCTTGTTCAAAATAAAGGGTAGTTTGCTTCATAAACGTTGGGTCAAAAGTCAACCATTAGGGAGATATCGCGGTACAAAGATGGCGGAAAAATAATGTTTTTATTTTTTGTCTTGAAAACGAAAAGAGATAGACTAATAAAATTTTATGGAAGCATTACTGTTATGAAAACACACTTTCTGGTAATTTTTTCACTTTTTTAAAATGAGTGGAAGGGGTTGAAATAAACTACCCCTATCATTCTTGTTAACGAAATTTAAAGAAAAATCTTCTCAAACACAAACAAAAAATTAATTTGGATAGCTTGGTTTGTTTAGAAACTTTTTTATCTCTTGTATTTTTTTGATAAAACTCACCGATTTGAAATTAAAAAATAAAATGTAAAGCATTACATGTCAGGACAAAAAACATTTTCTGATAAAGAATCTAGTGGGCTGCTATAATTTTTTTAGGAAAAAATCTAGTCGGTCCCTGTTACTTTTTAGGATGTTCCTAATATTATTTTATTTGACATTACTCTACTGCAATACGTTATTATCTAGATGATTATTATTATCGTTATTATCACTAGATTCTTAATCTAAAAATGTTTTTTGTCCTGACATGTAATGCTTTACATTTTATTTTTTAATTTCAAATCGGTGAGTTTTATCAAAAAAACAGAAGAGATAAAAAAGTTTCTAAATAAACTAGACTATCCAAAATATTTTTTTTGCATGTGTTTGATAAGATTTTTCTTTAAATTTTGTTAACAAGAATGATAGATGTAGTTTATTTCAACTCCTTCCACTCATTTTAAAAAAGTGAAAAAATTACCAGAAAGTGTGTTTTTATAACAGTAATGCTTTCATAAAATTTCATTAGTCTTTTTGTTTTCAATATAAAAAATAAAAACATTAATTTTCCGCCATCTTTGTACCGCGATATCTCCATAATGGTTCACTTTTGACTCAACGTTTATAAAGTAAACTACCCTTTATTTTGAACAAGGAATCACCCCCTAAAGTTTTTCGCATTTGTTTTGAAACACCCCGTATATATCTGATTTCAATAGTTACCGTAAAATGGGGTGAATAGAAACATAGTGGTAAATAGAAACAACATTTCTGAAAAAAAATCAAATCACGATTCGACATATCTAATTTTTCTATCATTGGCAATACACAATAAAATGTAAAAACTATATTTTTATCTGTGGCAGCACTGTTTCTGTCAATCAGCTGATCAATAAATGTGAGATCGATTTTATCACCTATTTTGTTTGGCGCGAAAACTTTATAAATAAAATATTTATTTTTAAAGTAATACATAAGCTGGTACATGTAAGTTGTCATATTATATGTATTGTTAATTATTGTTAAACCTACTTAAATATGTAATAATTTACTGTTTCTAATCACCTTGTTGGACGTAGAATAGATAAAACATTAACAGCAATGTGTGTTTCTATTCTCCCGAATAGCAGGTGAATAGAAACACAAATGTTATTTTTATTTAATATTTATATACATATTTTTCAAAAATCAAATTATACGTATACGCAAAG